GCAGCAGGGAGAGCGAGAGGCCCGCGCAAGTCACCTTCGGAGCAGGGAGAGGTGGCAGGCTGGCCAACCACCACGGGGGTGCCCCTTACCTGACCTCACCAGTGGGTGGGAAGCATGGGAGACAGCGGTAAAGCCCAAGGGGCACTATCTGGGGGCAGAGAGCGCGACAGAATGTGACCCTGGGTCTGACAGGGAAAGGCCCAGGCTGGGAGGCTGACTGGAGCGTCATCGGTCCCCCCAGCGACCCCTTTCCCTGGGCACTTGGTCTGCAGCATGACACTCAAAGATAGCAGGTGTCAGGAGGCCAGCTTGTCTCCACTGTGCATCTCAGCTCTGTGCCAGAGCCCACAGCAGTCAGCACTCTGCCCAGCTTCAGGACCCTCTGAGGGCCCGCCGGGGGTCAGTGGTAACACGAGCAGGGGTGAGGCAGAAGCCCAGTGTAGATGAAAATGCTGCAGGGCCCAAGAGTGACTAAGTCACCAGGGGAGCCGAGGGCAGGGGGAGGAGCAGGAGGGCGGCTCCAGGGACCGGGTGGATAGATGGGCTGCTGAGAGGTGGTGCGTATGGTGAAGAGACCAGAAGAGGAAGAGTGTAGCTGTGGTAGAGAGGTTGCTGTGTGTCAGCAGAGCGGCAGGTGGTGTGGGGAGACCTTGTGCTGCAGTCGACTTGTCTGTGTCCTGGGACCCGCTTCGCCCCTCCTGGCTGGATGCGGGGAACCTGCCTGCCTCTGCCTGGGTGTCCTGAGGTGGAGCTACTGGCTGAGTCCTCCTCAGAGGGGAATGGGGAGCACAGGATGGGGTCACCTAGGCTCCCGGCACAGCAGAGGCCAGCTTCCAGAGGTGCTCCCCATACTGGCCTTTGAGGTAGGGAGAGCAGAGAGCTCAGTAGGCAGCAGCACAGAGATTCAGGCACGGGAATCCCAGTCTCCTCATGTGTGACCATGGATGGGTGTGTTGACCTCCCCAATTCCTGGCCCATGCCACAAACAGCCCTGTGATGGGCACCACACAGAGGCCGAGACAATTTCAGTGCCTCCTCCCTACACACCCAGCCCTACCCAGGGATGTACCTACTTGAGCCAACTTCTTGGGATTCCTCACCTCGCTGCTGGAAACAGGGGATCCCTGAGCCTTCACCTGGCACCCCTTGCTGATATAAAGCTGGGATATGGGGAGCCAGTACACACAAGAGGACTCAGACATACCTGGGAGAAGTCTCACCTTGGCTTTCTTACTGGGAAACCTCAGGCCAGTGCCCCAGCCTCTCTGAGCTGCTATCTGCCCTCAGAACGAAGCCAGCTGTGTGCTACTGTTGTACCCGCTACTTCTGCCATCAGTGGACTTTACAGTCTAAGGTGTTTTTTTTTTTGGTACCAGGAATCGAACTCAGGACCTTGCACTTGTGAGGCAGGTGGCAGTACCACTGAACTAAATCCCCAGCCCCATGTGGTACTGTTGTAAGAATGTAATGTGAAAAGGATTTTGGTATCAAGACATTGCTGGTCCAGTGGGAATTTTAGGATCCAAGGGCAGCTTCATGGTAGGACCTAGATCAGTGCCTGTGGACTGTTGACTCTCTCTAAATATCAGTGAGTCCTCTGGTGCTGGGTGGGGTCTGTAGGCCGGCTGTCAACATGGAGTCAAGTGAAAATAGAAACAGGGTCGAGAGCAGTGACCAGTGGTCAGCACCTGCTCCAAAGGTGGGTGTCGTTCCATTTGACAGAGGAGACTGAGGCTGGGAGAGCTTCCTGAGGCCATGAAGACGTGAGTCCCACTGTGTGTGGATGCATTCACACAGGGGGTGGCAGAAGTTCCTGCCACAGACCTGCTGTCCTGTCCCTCCTCACCTGCCTGATTATTCGTTCACTCGCTCACTCATTCAACAAATATTTATCAAATATCAAAGAGAATGGAGCAGAGAGAAATTCTGGCTCTTCAGGGGAGTGGGCGGGGACAGGGCCCATGCTGCAATGGAAATGAGGGTGAAGGAAGGGTCGCTGCAAAGAAGACTCTAGACAAAGACTTGACAGAGAAAGGAGGTGTGAGCTGTGCTCTGCGAAGAGCGTGCAGGGCGGAAGGAACAGGGAGGACGTTCACCCGGCTTGGGGCCGAAGGGAAGAGCTATGATGACAGGTGGGCGCGAGGTTCTCCTTGGTGCCACGAGCCCCTGGACATCGATCTTCTGTGGCAGGTGAGGTGCCTGAAGGCCCGGCTGCCCGGCAGTGGGGTGATGGGGGAAAGGCCCACGGGCCTCTCAGATTTGAGGTCCACGTCATCCCGGGCTCTGAGGGTGGCCTCTCCTTCGCCAGCCTCCCTCCTCCCTCAGGGGAGACTTGAGGCTTCTGCAGGAATCCATGTGGAGGCTCCTCATGGGCTGAAAACAGCTGCTGATGAGGCAGGCATGCATTTCGGCCTGGAAGGGATGTGGTGATAAGAACACTTGCTTTAATTAAGGCTGACAAAAGTCTTGCCACAGGTTGGCACCCGGCCCCAGGTCAGTGGGGCTGGCTCAGAGCTTGGAGGGTAAGGACAGGGAGAATGAGTCCCCCTGGGCTCCAGTTGCTGCCCCCTCAAAGGGAGACCGCAGCCAAGTGGCACCACCATGTTGAGGACAGCCCCACCTGCAGCCAGGATTCCCCGGAGCTCCACGCTGAGAGTGCTTCTTGGGCGGCAGCCGTGATGTGGCCAGGCTGGGCAGGAGAAGATGGGCCACAGCCAGGACAGCGCCTCATGTCAGGCCTATTCATAGCCGGGCTCTGCTCTTTAGGCCTGTCGCCTGTGAGTCACTCCGGGCCTCTCCAGTGTCTCCCAAGGGGACAGTGGGCGTCTTTGTCCCCTTCCCTCCTCTAACACCCAACCCCTCTTCTCTAAGATCTGGCCTTGGGCTGAACCTGGGGCCTAAGCATTGAGCTACATCCCCAGACCGTTAAAAATTTTTTTTTTTAAATTTCGAAACAGAGTCTTGTGAAGTTAGTAAGTTGTCCATGCTGGGTTTGAACTTGTAATTCTCCTGCCTCAGCCTCCCAGAGTGCTAGGATTACAGTTGTTTACCACCATGACTGGTTCATGCAGCCTGTTTCTTAAAGCAGAGACTTGGCTTTTGCACAAGGACATATTTCCAGAGTTGGTCAGGCATGTGGCCCCATCAGAGCTTGAAGTCTGTTCTCGGATCAAGGCTTCACAGGAATGCTGTGGTGTCCCCTAGTCCTGTGCTGAGAAGCACTGAACAGCCAGATCCCTAAGTCTGAGCCCTGCCACAGTAGTTGTCATTTTCTGAGGTGTAGACTCTCCCAGTGGCTGATGCCAAGCGACTAACAGCATTGCTGAGCAGAGTTGGGAGAGGGATCCTGCTGGTGGGCTCTTGCAAGGGGCCCAGAGTCGGCTTTTGCTGGTTCTGGACTCTAGCTCATTTCCACCTCATGGCTGCCTTGATGTGCGGCTGCCCAAGCTGTCTTCTCATGCACAGGTCACTGGAGGTGGCCACTTCCCCACCCACAAGGCCTAGAAAGTGCTTGGCCCCTGGTGGCTGTGACCGCAGGGCATGGGCAAGTGCATCTCCCAGGGAGGGCTCTGTGAGGGAGGCTTCTCAGAGGGCGTGGCCAGGAGCTGGAAGGGAGCAAGTAGAAGGAAGGAGACAGGGCTTCCTCTTTTCTTTTGCCACCTCCATGAAGATTTGCATCAATTTTCTGTATGGGGTGTTTTGTTACTTGCAGATTTTGGTTAGTTTTCACTCTGCAACACTGTATTCCACTGTTTTGGTCCATTTTCCATTGCTGTAACAAAATACCTGAGGCCAAATTTAATCCCCAGCACCTCAAAAAGAAAAAAAGAATCATCAAATTGTGTACTCACGGTGGATTGATCTCATGGCACACAAATGAAACCTTCCATGGAGCTGCGATATTCCTTTAAGTTGGATATACTCAAGAGCTTTATTTGATATTCTCTACGTCTCGGACACCATGTCTGCTTTGTCAGTGCCGCGAGCGACCCAATGATGATATTTTCCAGTTGAGGTTTACTTCGTCAACTTTGTTTCCAGAAGGCAGGGTTTCTAGGCCCAAAATTAGTGCTGGGGCTTTCAATATGATGACGAAATCCTATCTCCAAAGCAGGGGCCAATGGGAGCTATAGTTTCCTGCTCTTATCTACTTTGCACGATCGAACTATACGGGCATCTATCTTCTTATTGAAAGAAGACTCATCTCTCTCTCTGCGAGTTAGCAGTTGGTGTGGCGGCTGCTCTCGAGGGAACTGACCACGGAGGAGGTTCCAGGTGCCCAGTGTTCTGTTTGCATGTTGAGTGGAGATATGACTTCTCTCACGTATAGTAAAATGTTCTACCTCCATTGTGCAATGGGGTGAATTTTTTTGCATGTGATACACTTGCATTAGCATCTCTTGCATCAAGACCCAGGGCTTTCCAGGTGCCCTAGAAAGGTCCCTTACACCCTTTCCCAACCAAAAGCCTAGAGCTCCTTTCCCTTCCATCGCCATCAGTTGAATTAAAAAAAATTTTTTTTTGGTGGTTTTGGTGATTGAGCCCAGGGCCCTCACACTGAACCACCTCCCTGTCCCTTTTTCATTTTGAGATAGAGTCTTGCTACATTGTGCAGGCTGGACTCAGACTTGTGATCCTCCTGCTTCATCCTTCCAGAATGCTAGGACTGCAGGTGTGCACCACCACACCCAGACAGAGTCTCCTGTTCTTGAACTTCTTATATGTTTGAGATTTTGACCAATAGGCTAGTTCTATAGAAATGGTCTCTTTGTAAGAGCCACCGGGTGTGTGTGATGATGTGCTTTTGTGTGTTGTATCTTCATAAAGGGTTCACATGCGGGTAAGAAGCGTTCAGGGCGCTGCCACTCCATGATCCGTGGCCAGCAGCCCCCTTGCTGGCCACAGTCTTCCTGAGCCTGCACAGCTGTCACTGTCCCTGGCTGTGCCCGTCCCCTGGTTCACGGTGTTGGTGCTCTAATCTGCCTCTCTTCTCTCCCCAGGGTGTCTGTGTCAGGCCTGGGTCCTCCCATCTCATGTACTGTGCGTGGGTGTGAAGCCCATTCCGTGCTGCCTGCAGGGGGCACCACCTTGCCTCACCGGCTCATCGATAACCGTCTCGTCTCTCCACCTCACGCTCCGGCGCTGCCCAGCATGGCCATCTCATCACGCCTCGCCCTGTGGGAGCAGAAGGAAAGTGATGCTCAGGGTGGGCACGCAGCAGTGGGTTCGGAGGGCCTGTCACCCGGGGGGGCAGGGAGCTCGATGCCCGCCTTTCCCTAGGGTGTGCCCAGGCCCATCTGCCACCTCTGCTTAGCCAGTGCAGCCCAGCCTTCCTGACCCAGCTGGCAGTGGTGACCACGTCCTTGATGCCTCTGAACTGGAGGCTGGGAAACGAGCACGAGTGAGACCCATTCCCCAGTCTCTGTGCTCACGGAAGGTGGGCAAACGTGGGGCTGCCAGGCTGATGCTACAGGGGTGGCTCTTCACGGTCCCTCCTCTGTCACCGTGGAGGGTGAGGAACGGGCTCCTCGCCTCAGTTCCTCCTAATATTCCTCATAAGGCACCAAGAAGGGCCTGGGCCCGGGCCCTTTCCCTCTCCCTCTCCCCTCCCTTCCCCCTCTCCCTCTCCTGCCTCTGGCCCCTCAGCTTTGTGCATGTGATTTAATGCCTTGGAGGCAGAAGCAGAGAGGGAGAGAGAGAGGCTTCTTTCTGGTTGCCTCCTGCCCCTCTCAGGTTGCCGGGGCACAGTATTGGGGCAAGCGTTAGAAGGAACAGAGGTCAACTCACTCTCTTTTAGGAAGGGAGTCTTGGTCCTGAGCCTGGCCTCACATGGCCTGACTCCCACCCATGCCTGGGCAGACATCTGCGTCAGAAAACCCCCCCCCCCAGGCCCT